GCACAGAAACACAAAACAAACTCATCCATTTTTCATTCACAGGTACACTCAAACAAGTACATATTACTGAATCTACTTGGGGTCTATTAAAAAAAAATTAAAGAAAACCCTGTAAGATATGGCTCAAAACATATACTCTGATATGTCATTTGCCTAACTAAAATTAAGACCACAATATCTATACTGAAATACAAGCTTTAAAATGCTTATCATGACTATGAATCCAAAATTTCTGTGTTTATTTAAAGATATAAAAAAGAAACAGAGGGCCGGCCAGTGGCTCAGCTGGTTAAGAGCTCGCTCAAGAGTGCAAGCTCTGAGCAACAGGGTCGCCGGTTCGATTCCCGGCACGAGCTGAGCTGCCAACAGGTGGCAGGATGGCTCAGCTAAAAGAAAAAAAGAAAAAGAAAAGAAACAGGTATAACTGATACATTCTATTAAACCTTAAATATCCCTCCCCACCCCCCGAAAAATGTTATGTGTGTGTGTATGTGTATTGTGAAGGAGGGGCAGGAGAGCAAGCATACATGAATTTGGGTACTCACTTGCTCCAATTTAAAAATATGCTGATTAAAGTAGTGTTGTAAACGTTCATTAGCAAAATTAATACAGAACTGTTCGAAGCTGTTATTTTCATAATCTTCAAACCCAAAAATATCAAGAACACCAATGGACAAAGTCTGTAAAACAGGAAAAAGTTATGGTTAAAAAGTGATGCTCACATTTATTTCATTAATAATATCTACCACAAGAAACAAAATGCTCTAAGTTCTTCTATAGCAGTGGAGAGATTTTGCAAGGCCGATGTTGAATCAAAATATACCACAAATAAAAAGCACTTTAGTTCTTTTTATCTTCATCTTTTTTTAAATTCTAATTATTTTTTTTTAATCTGAAAATTTAACACGTATAACCCATTGGATTGATTACTCTACAGAAATGTACAAAGCAGGGTTAGTGGCCTCTTATCTCAATCTCAGAAATTCCTAAACTACAAGAGACAAGGAAATGGGAATAACAAGCCATGGGGAAGTCAAAGGTTACTTAAGGAAAACTAGGTTACTCCTGCCATGCCTGGTTACACCAAAATGACCATGCAACGTTTTCTATTTTGACTTCTATATCCCAATAGAATTCTGTTTTAAGAACCAAGCTAACAAGTATGTTTAATCAGCCTTGTGGAAGCTAGGAATTAAAATGGAATCAATATATGTGATTTCTTAAAACTGAAATTTTTAAAATTTTTATAAAAAAAAATTGTACAAGGTTTGTAATGTTAAATAGTTCTAAAAGGATTATAACAAAAAACAACAATCCCCTCATCCTCAATTTCTGCTCCCTAAAATCAACAACAGTCAAATCATTTAGCTGTTTGATATGGAATAGTATAGTACATGTATAGTAGAGTAGAGAGTAGTACAGAGTAGCATAGAGTAGTACAGAAGTATAGTATAGTATAGTATAGTATTAGTATTAGTATACAAATGCTTATTCTTCTATTTCTTGATATTTTACTCGTAGAAATTATCTTCTTTTTACTACGGATGATAGGAATTCAGCTCTAATAACCCCAAACCAACATTCTTCTCATCATCCCACCTCATTCTTGAAATACAGTTGTATGGCAATTGTGGTTAAATGAAAACAATTTTTCTCCACTTGTGCTAAGAGAGTTACTGGGCAAATTGATGTAATTTGTGATAAATAATAGTAAGAGATTTTTAAAAGTCTCCATCATTAAGAGTATTTTGTTTGATTAATGCTGCTGGCTAAATTCTAAGCCCTTGTGAAAATAATGACCTTCAAAAATAAGTCAGTTTGGTTACATTACAATCAAAATTAATAGTCTAAGTGTGGGCTTACACAAAGCATAAAAAGTTCCTATAAGAGCCATTTTACATTTAAGATAATAGGATTAAAGTAATAAAGATAACATCTAAAATCAGCCTAAATAGGTGGACTGTCCCATAAAAATTATTGAGAAAAATGAATTTAAAATTATTAAAGTTAAGTATCTATTGTAAGATCTGCCATATTAAAAATAAATTCCAATTGGAAAAACAGCCTGAACATAAAAAATTATATTCTAGAAGTGTGAGAATAAATATTTTATAATCTTGGGCTGGAAGAGGCCCAAGAAAAATATATAAATATATAAAAATAAAACCCAGGAAAGAAAAGGAAAAGAATGATAGAATTAACTGCACAAAAATTTAAAACACATGGGCTCAAAAACACATCATAAATAAACCTGTAAAGTTAGGAGAAAATATTTGCAACATATATCAAACTATAATTCTTTGCAATATCCACAATGACTCCTAAAAAGGAATAAGAAAAAGACAAAATAAACAACATAAAAGCGGCAAAAATATATAAAGAAATAACATTGAGAAAACACTGGCCATAAAATGGGATTGTCCTTATCAGATGAGCAGTGAAAATACTGATAACATCCAATGTAAGTAAAGGTATAGGGAAATAGGCACTTTCATAAGTGTAGTCTTTTTTGAAAAGCAATTCAGCAGTACTACCAAAATTTTAAAACATATATATCCTTAAATCCAGCGATTCATATTGAGAATTCTGTCCTAGAGAAATGTGCACAAGAATATTTGCTACATTATCATTTATAACAATATAACAAGTGTAGTATATTTTAATGGGGAAATTTGTGGCACTATTACTTACTATATAATACCACTTACTATATAATATTACAAAGCTGTTAAAAATAATGAGGTCTAGATATATTTTGAGACATAGTAGATTAAAAAAAAAAACACA